ATTCAGATAATGGAGTTATTAGTCACAAAATATTAAAATAAAGATGCTAAATATACTCAAAGAAATAAAAGTCAAGACTGAAAATTTCAGTATAGAATGAGAAGGAAAAAAGAGAAACAAATAGAAAATTTATAAATGAAAAATACCAAAACTGAAGTTAACTCATTGGATGTGTTTAATACTATATTAAATATACTGAAGAGAGAATTAATGAACTGAAAGACAATTCAGAAAACAAAATAAGGCACAGAAAAACAAAAGGATGGGAAATATTAAAGAGAGGGGTAGGAAACCATAGTGGCTTTAAAATGTAATCCTAAAATAAAATCACTTACCCTCTGTCCAACAAGAGATGAGAACATATGTCCACTGTCTTTGAATCTACGTAAGCTTGAGACAGTTTTGACATAGAATATGGTAAAAATAATGCTACGTAACTTCCGAGGCTAGATCATTAAAAGCCATGTGGCTTCTGCTGGTTCTCTTAGAATGCTTGTTTCCTAGATGCTTCCTCTTCAGTAACTCCCTTTCAGAACCCAACTGCCTTGTATGAGAAGTTTAAGCCCCATGGAGAGACCATGTATAAATGCTCAGGCTAAGCCTAGCCTTCAAAGTATCCCAACACAGGCACTAAGTAAAAAAAGCATTCAGATGATTCCAGCCTCTAGCTGTTCAAGTCACTCTCAGTTGAAGCACCTTAGCCATGGAATGCATGAGCACAATAAAATTATTTTATGCTACTAAGTTTGAGACTGTTATACTGAAACTAATAACCTGAAGAGACACTTAGAGATACAGTGATAAGAATACAGCGTGTAACTGGAGTTCCAGAAAAAGAGAAGAGAATGGAGTTGAAGTAATATTTAAACAGATAATGGCTGAGAATTTTTTAAAACTCATGAGAGATATCAAGTTACAGATATGAAAGGCCCTACGAACCCCACAGAATAAATAAAAAGAACACCTAAGCACATCATAGTAAAACTAATGGAAACCAAACTTAAAGAGAAAATATGCAAAAGACAGCCAGAAAAAAAGACAAATTCCCTTTTAAAGAGCAAAAATAAGAATAATTTAACTTCTCAACAGACCATAGAAGCCAAAAAACAATAGAGTGCTATTTTCAAAGTACCAAAAGAAACAAATAATCACCAGCCTTAAACTCTACATCTAGCATTGCAGAAGTGTTTGGTGTCCCACATCACATTCCTTCAGCCCAATTCTAATTTTGCCTTCATTTGTGGTCAACTGACTGAAAACCTTAATTACATCTTTTGCCATGTAATATAACATAATTACAAGAATATCACTATGGGACATAAGTCAGGGGGGCCATCTTAGAATTCTTAGCCTTCTGCCTACCATACATACTCTATGACTCATCAGTTCCACTTCTAGGTATATACCCAAGTGAAATGTGTACATTCTCTTCAACAAAATACATGTTCTACAATATTCGTAGCAGCACTAGTCATAATAGCTGAAACTTGAAAACTACCTAGTGTCCTTCAAGAGAATAGTGGCATGATTGCTCAGTGGAAATCTACATAGCAGTAAGAATAAAAAATGATATAGGTAAATCTTATAAACATAAGATTGAGCAAAAAGCCAGATACAACGAATACTCTTCATTTATATAAAGTACAAAGATTGACAAAAAGTACAAAACTTTTTTTTTTTTTTTACAGGTAGAAGTCAGAATAGTATTTACCCTTGGAAAAACGAGAAGAGAATGGAAGGAGGCACAGAGGGGCCATTTGGAGTGCTGATAACATTGTGTCTTGATCTAGGTGTGTTCAATTTGTGAAAATTTATTGAACTGTATATGTATTCTATGTATGAAGATTTTAAATTACTGCTACAAATAAATCTTAGAAAATCCAAAAGAATTTTTACACAAATTACTAGAAATAATAGAATTTATAAAGATACCTGAAAGTAAAATTAATATACAATTGCATTTCTACATACCAGCAAGAAAAAAACTAGAATAGTTCTTAAGTATAAATATAAATAAAAACATATAGTTTTAAACATCATTCACGATAGAATCGGAAAAATGTCAAGTCCCTAGAAACTAATCTAACAAAAGGCACACAAATCTCTATAGAAAAATTATAAAACTTAACGAAGAGATATTAAAGAGTACTTAAATATTCAAAGAGATACGCTATATTCATATTTAAGAAAACTTCATAGCATAAAAATGTCAGTTCTTCTCTAATTAATCCATAGATCCAATGCAAATGCAAACAAAATTCAGATTAGCTGACTCTAAAATGTATCTGGAAGAGAGAAATGTCAAGAATCTCCCTTCTGAAAAGTAAAAAATGGTAGTACACATCTACCCTGTTGGTAGTTAAGGTTTACTAAAGAATTCAGAAAGTGTGGAGCTGATAAAGAAAAGACATAATGACCAGTGGAATAGAATAGAGAACCAGAAACAGACTCATAAATGTATGTAACTTAGATACATGACAGAGGTAACCTATCAGTTTGGTGGGGAAAGGAGAGACTATTCAGTAAATGAAGTTGGAAAAAAATAAGCTTATACATATCGAAAGAAAGAAAATTCTATTCTTAACTCACTCTAAACATAAAAATCAACTCTAAATGAGTCAATAACAAGACTTTAAATCATTAGGTGAATATCTTATCGACCTTAGAATATAAAAGGATTTTTACAAGATGCAAAAACTTCAACTCAGAAAAGATAATTTTGACCACATTAAAATAACTTTTATTAAAAATTCCTTAAATAAATGAATTTTAAACCTCAAAGATTCTCAATCCAAGCCAAGAAAAAAGTACAAGGTGGGTTCATTTTATTTCAATTTCACGAAAGTTTATTTTATGAATGAATAAACAGAGAACTAAAAGAGAGAAAGATTAATAAAAAAATTAGATTCTTTGACATATTTAATAAGATCACCACATCTCTGGCAAGACAAATCAAGAAAAATAAGCAAATGAAGATCGAAAGAGAAGTAAAGTCACATTATAGACCAGGGTTAAGTTTAATAAGGGTGAACTATGATAGTGAGACCACTGCTCTTATCTACTCAGGAGGGAGAACACAGAATGATAGGTGAACAATGGTAGAGTGTGTTAAGGGCTGTTGTTCTCATTTGCCCAGCAAAGTCTCTCTAGAAATAGAGAGAATATATTGCAAGTATATTCATTTGTTCATGCATTTAAAAATCACACTTGCCTCTGTATCTCAGCCTCCATCTCAATGCCTGGTACAGAGATGAAAGGGATTCCAGAGGTCAAAAAGTAGAGGACTGGAAAGGAGGAGCAGTATCTAACAACTATGTCAAGGGAGAAGCAATAATTTGATGCTCAGCAAAGGCAAGGATATAACCAAAGCCTTCCATTTGGTGTGGTGACATAGATAGTAGTGATGTGAAGCATGATGGAATTAACAGGCCTCACTGGACATCTGCCCTCAGTCACTTGCCTGCTTTCTCACCTCAATAGTGGCACTGGAAAACCTGGAAGGAAACTCAAGTGACTACTGGGATGCTCTATTTAAATCCTCTCTTCTGGGTCAGTGCAGCTGGCACACTGGACATTGCTCTCAGCTTCAGGAAACTGCATCACCAGTAGTCTTGGGACAGCAATGTCAAAGAATGGCTGATGTGGGAGTACAAAGGCCTGGCTCCCTTGCCTTCTTGGGACACCATGAAGAACCATCCTAATTCTAGACCTCCCTGTTACAACAGCTGAGGCTTCCGTTGCAACCACATCGTGGGGCCTCTGATCCTATCTTTCGCACTTCCTTACAGGTGTATTTTTTAAGAGCTCTCCCCGGTACACGTGACTCTCTCTTAGTATGTTTCCAAGGAGCTTAATCTAATGTAAAAGTTTAAAGGACCTCTTTAACTTTCTTCCTCCAGCCCAGGCAAAATGTTCTCTACTTTTTTGGAGGCCACAAACCCTTTTGACAATATAATGAAAGCTAAGGAACCTCTGCTCAGAAGATTACACATAGGCACTTAATGTAAATCTTTACATAATATTTTTTGTTTATTTTTCAATTACAGTTATAAGTTGACATTTAATATTAGTTTACATTAGGTTTAAGTGTACAGCATAGTGGTTTGATGCATATAATTTACCAAGTGACCCCTGCCCCTCCCGTAAGTCTAGCACCACCTGGCACCACACATAGTTATTACAATATTATTGACTGTATTTCCTATGCTGTATTTTACATATCCATGACTATTTTATAACTACCAATTTGTACATTTACATACTATTTTAGAGGTTGTGTTTTTCTCTTCCTCTCAACTTTAAGGTCCAGCTCAAACTTTACCATCCATGTGAAGCCTCAAATAGTTCTTTGTAATCATAAGATTAGCAACCATTTGTTGAGTACTTAAACTCTGCAACACACCATGCTAAGCGTTTTAACTTCATGACGCCTTTGATCATGACAACTCTGCAGGGTAGTTACTAATACTTTGATTTTAGAGATTCAAGGACTTGCCCAAAGTAACACAGCTAATAATTAGTAGGTACTGGATTAAAATCTCAATATGTAAAGCTTGCGCTTTGAATGGCAAGGAAAAAGTAGGGAAGGTTTAAGATGTTAACCTCTTAACAGAATTGGGATTTAAAGCCAGGTCTAACCCCCAAGCTGGCACTCTTTAAATTAAATGTGTCGTAGCACCTACAAGAACGAAAAAAAGCTGACTTTGTCCCATTTTTGTCCTTTGCAGCTCCTTTGTTATTTGCATTTGTTTCTACAACAATTTCCAAAAGACCTTTGCGTGGCGTTGCTGTGGTTCGC